AAGAATAATTTGAAACACGATTATAAGAAAATAAGACAGCAATAATCACGATACAAAACATATAGAGCAACAGATAGTAATAAACACAGAAGAAAAAAATAAACTAGGCCATTACTAAATAATATTACTAAAAAGGAGAAGCGTAGAAGCGTCTAGCCCCCTGCTCCTGCTCCTCCTTACTCCTCCTTACTGGCACATTCATGCACCTCCTCTTCACATGCCCGAACCATCTCATCCTCGTTCCCCTCATCATGTCCTCCACGAGGCCGCTCCCACCTTATCCCGTAAATCTCATTTCTAATCATATCTCTCCTAGTCTTTCTTAAAAAGTCATCTCTCTCCTAGTATGTCCACACATCTATCTAAGCATCCTCGCTTCCGCTACATTCATCTTCTGAATGTGGGCATTCTTGACTAGCCAACAATCTACCCTATACAACAAAGTCGGTTAAAACACCACTTTATAGAAAATACCTTCAAGCCTTGGCGACACAGCCTTTAATTCCAAACTGGTCAAAGTCGAGCACCAAAAAACAGGAGGACTTGCACAAAACATTGTGACACCAAAATGGAAATGAAAACACATTTTTATGGACATCCTCACACTTTTTTTTTAATCAAATTGGTTTCCACACACCTTCTGGAAGCATGACTCCATTTGGATAGTTATGGATAGGCTCACCAAATATGCTCAACTATACATAAAGGAGATACCCACTTGCATAGGGTACTAGTATGTATCATCTTGGATCGAGGACTCAATTCAATTTTAAATTTTGGAAGGCAGGTACTTGGGATAAAAATCCGTTCAAGTACGACATTCCATCCCCAAACCGATGGTCAGCCAAAAAGAACTATTCAGATTCTTGAGGACATATGCCTCGGACTTTGGATACTACCACTCAAGTATCTAGATGGCACCATTCAAGTCCTTATATTGGCAAAGGCATAGATCGCCAAAAGTTCAGTTTGAAGATGGCAAGACATATCTTTTAGGTCCGAATTTAGTTTGAGAAACCTTGGAGATGGTCAAAAATGCAAGAAAGACTCAAGACTGTGCAAGTCGCCAAAAGTTCTGTTCCGACAAAAGGAGTCGAGAACATGAATTTATGAAAGGTGATCGGGTGTTCTTGAAGGTATCACACATAAAAGACGTGATGAGGTTTGGGAGAAAGGAAAACTCAATCAGAGGATTCATAGGGCCATACTAAATCATAGACTGTACGGGTTATGTGTCTTACAAGCTTGCTCTATCGTTAAAGTTGTCTTTCGTACATGTCCTCTATGTTATGAAAGTACGTTCATGATCCAACCAATGTCACTCCTGCCCAATTCAATATAGTCAAGAAGCTAGCCTACAAGGCTGTGCCTATAGCTATTGTGGATCGACAATAGCGAAAGTTGAGGTCCAGAGAAGTTTCTTCCATAAAGTTGTTATGGAGGAACCCACCCTACCAAAAAGGCCACATGGGAGGTCAAGGCGGACATAAGATCCAAAAATCTGCCATATCCCAAATCCCAATACACGTGTACGACTTGAATAACACTTAGGGAGGAATGTTCTTAAGGAAGAGGATATAATGCCCCTTCATTGAACAGCCCTTAAACACTAATCCCTTTGTCCCAATTTATCTGACACAATTCGCTTTTCGAGAGTCAAACAGTTTAAGTTTGACAGATAATTTGCTCATGGAATCTTCAAACACAAATTAAATGAAATTTATATATTTGTAAACTACATCAAAGCTACTATAATTCCCAATAATTGATAATTTAAATATTTAAAGATATATGAAAATTTTATGGTCAAAGATAGACTTGTTTAAATCTAAATGGTCCTCCCACAAATAGTATGATATTATATATGAAAATCTAACTAGGAATGTAAAAACATGAAATGTGCACTCTTTTAGGATTAATTTGATAATCAAAAATCAAAATGATATGTTTGTATATAACAAGTAGTACTGTAGTAGGGTAAAGGTTGTAATTTTACCAAATGATTTTCAGCATATACAATAGTTATCCATTAGATTAATTAGTTGCCCAACTAGAAAAAAGAAAAACAAAGAAAAGGATTACATAATTATAATTCATGTATTGTGTGCTTGGCTTTGAAGGGTACTCCTCATACATTACCTAATACCTACATGTTGAATTTCTCGACTTTCACTTAATAACAAAGAAGGCACTTTTCCAAGTTTTTAGCATCTGACACTGATATCTTCCACTTCTATATGTAGAACACTATCAAATCATTAAATGATTCCAAATGTGCAAGCACAAGACCCCAACGAGTCGTATTTAAATTACTTCATGTAGAGATTTTCTTCATTTACTACTATATATAATTCAGTGATCCCATTTAATCAAAACAAATGAAGTGAGACAGCTGGTGGAACAAAAAGGTCAGACAAGTTGTCAACTTTTTAGCTTATATTCATCTAGCCTTATTTGAGAACTTTTATCCTTTAATTTGTCTAGTTGTTGTAGGGCATACCAACGAAGATATTACTTGAACAGAGGAAGTTTCTTTTTTCTCTTTACAAAGCTATAGGAATAGATATAATATTTTCTTATCCAGGAGGTTAAAGCGGTACGTAGAAGCTACTTCAAGAAAAACACAATCCTTTTTCTCCAGTACTTCAAATGTTCTTGCCATATAAATATAGGAATATATAAATTTAAAAGTATATATTTATTAGTGTAGTATTGATTCGAAAATTCCTCGTCTTAGAGTGGCTCGTCCCTTCTTATAATATATATTTGTATAGGACAATGGTAGTTGAGTATTGAAAGTTCTACAGCAAACAAACTTAGATTAAGGTAAGTAGACACCCAATCCTTTAAAAGTGATTTTCAACAAATAATATGTTTCAGGTGCTTTCAATTGCATATATGGATATTTTCAATGTTTATTTTGTACTCATGCGCGGGGGGGACGAACATGTGCGAGTGTCACTGCATTAATGGATTTCATGACTTCTAATCTCATTCAAATGATACTTCTGATTATGTTTATACGTTTTATGTATTGCAACTCTTGAAAGAAAGGATGTTCAGTTGTTCATAACCGAATCGAAACTGATAACCCAATCGGAAAATTAGCTTACTGGATTATTGGTAATGGGTTATCAGACTAACAAATTAAAAACTTATAATCCTATAGTTAATGGCTTATCGGTGCGTGGACAGATTACTCATTTTTTATCGGGTAAACTATTAAGAATTATCATATTTACATTTTACCCCTAAATATTTAAAGTATCTCTTGTAAACCTAAAAAATAAAACTCATTCATTGTTCTATTCACTTCTTTGCTTCGAAAATAACAAGTCACTTGCTCAATTCTCGTGACTTCTAATCATAATGCATAGTCGGTAACATAAAGAAAACCTTAAATAAACTCTTAAAGTAAAAGACAAATTATTCTTGATAAGATAAGGACCGCAACAAAAATGAAACAACCCCATTGTGTCCTTCACACAGTTTGATATAAAACTGAAAATTTTCAAATCATATTGAGTTTTAAATTTTTCATCGACTCAGTAATTAAAAAATGTTTCTACATATACTTCAAGTCCAGAATAAAACTCTCATTTGATTTTATGTTGTAATCTATTAAAAATTGTAGGAATAAAACTCAACAAACCTAAAAAATTGATAATTAGATGATGTATCACAGTATATACAAACAACTTAGTGAAGAAATGGACATAATGATAACGGCTCGATATCTTATTGCCTCTTAGATCTATCTATTAACCGTCCGTTAATTGCTAATACGATACAAAACCAACCGTTATCTTATCAAGCTAGCGGATTAGTACATTTAAAACCCGATAACCAATAAGTCGAACCATTAAGCATAATTATCCACCCGATAAGCAGCCCTATTCACATATGATAATTATGTTCATGACTAAGACCAAGAGGTTGTATTGGTGACGTGAATAACTACAGCAACAACATAACCAGTGTAATGGTTTCAATTGGTGAGATAAACGATATAATTATATTTTGGGAGGGATCTTCAGACAACTGAGTGGGTATTTGGACGTACTGGTCCAATTCCCATAAACCACACGGGCCAATGTGGGATTATGTCTGCTGCTATGTTTATCCACTAAATACAGTGATTGGATTTCTTTGAGTTTTGCTAGCACTTCCCTACCGTACATGCACGTCATTGGAGATTGATGTAGTCCTAGCTACCGAGTGGATAATGCTTTCCATGTTGCGCATACAGGGTCTCCATGTTTAGGTGGAGGCTCCAAAAAAATTGATAAAAGGATTTATTTTGTATGGCCTATACAACCTCTCTACCTTCACAAGGTAGGGGGAAGGTTGCCGACACACCACCCTCCCAGGCCCCAGTAGTGGGATTAGACTGGGTATGTTGTTATTCTTATTGTTGTTGGTCTATAAACACAATGGTTATTATAAAATAATTTTAAAATGTTTTACGATGTGTTCGTTATCTTGAGATCTAATTGATACACTTGAGAAATACATTTGTGTTCCTTATGCCCTTGGGGTGTTAATGTTTTGGGAATTTAATTGTACTACTAGCTTATAAATCTGTTTTCTATATATCATGCTATTAGTGCATGACATAGTAGATGGTAATAGGGTACGAGTTAAGGGTTCTTTCGGCAGGAAGTGGCAGCTGGATGCTCTAGTTGGGGTCATGACATATTTCTACTTGGGATAAGACATAGGCAGATACCACAAATAATATAATTCTATCCAAAGGAACAAATACCTCAGTTCACCGAGCACAAACATCAAAGTATAGTCCATGGGGTTACCTAGGTGACCACCTTTTTGGAACTCAGAATCAAGCACTTCAAATCAAATGTATGAGATATGATAAGTGAAATGCGAGAAGTAGAGGTATTTGATGGAACAAGGTACCATACAGGAAAATTCATTACTCCCCTAAAATGTTTGAGTAGCACCTCCAAAATACAACATAGTTTGGAGGAGATGAATAATACCTCGTTGACAACACAAACTGCAGGCACATCCATGTTGAATAACGTTGAAACAATAGCTTCTTCATGCCTTTTAGCTGCTTTTTCATATTCAAAACCTGAAAATTACAGGTGACAAATATTCGCCCCCAAACAACAAATTGAGTCGTTGACGTAAACGAAAACAAATTTGACCAGAATATAGAAACTGACCATCATGATGGCAAATAGGCATGGACACAATGATTGGCTGTCTTGACCTTTCCGCTTGCATCCTGCATAGAGTTCATAACAGCCAAATATAAAAATAAAGGAAAGGGTCAAGGGGTTCCACTTTTATGTGCTTCCAGTAATCTTGGGTTTCAGACTTCAGTGTCTTGGGTTTCAGAATTCAGTAACAAACTCATATTTCTAATTCCAGCTCATAGGGAAGCTATTTGTAACATTCAGACAAAGATGAGAGGTGTTTTAATCAAACTCTGAAAGTCATTGTAAATCCAGCCTTTCGTACCTTTTCCTTTCTTAGTGGGTAAAACCGGTGGTTTTGTTATTAAATTATTTTCTGAAAGTTTAGATACTGAAAAAGTATGTTTTATTCATAGTGTTTGTACAGAATTAATAGGAGAACAAGTAAAGACCAATTAAACTAATCAATCCCTAATTCTTTGCAAATCCTTGAATCAAGGGATTTCCTCTAAACTATTTTCCTAGAATAATATATTCTAATCCTATATTTACAAAAACAGATTCTAATCAAATCTGCCAGCTTTATTTGTGGAGCAAATTATAATCAAATCTGCCAGCTCATTCAACATTTTCCTATTTAGGATTTTACTACTAACTAAGGATTTGGGTATTTGATCTTTTTTCTTGTTTGATCCATGTAGGAACTCCTGATATTTAAGAATTGAAAACTGAGTAAGATTTTATATATGCAAAGATGAACAATTAGTGTTACTGCACAATATAATGCTAAATTCATCTTTATACAAATTGATACAATGAATCAAATAACACAGTTGTAGCAATTTGAAAATGAAAATAAAAAGTATATGGTGTGTGCTTCCTCAAGCGGGTTGATGGAGTCCTATCCCATAAATTTTTAGTTTAAGTGGTGCAACTATCTCATCTAAAAGCTTAAGCCGGCAAAGAGTGCACTCTTTTATTTACTTCTAGACATTCTCATATTCCTTAGAGCAAGTGGGGTTTAACTAAATGTACATGTTCTAAGAAGGAAAGAGAATTGAAGTACATAATTACATGGAGCAAATCAAGCTATACTATATTTACAAGATCCTATAAAATCCATATGATTCTAACATTGCTTTAAATTATTTGGCCCCTTATATTATCTTTGTTTGATTTGACAACTTTAACCTGCTATTAACATTTAATATTTTTAAGAACTTACACAGTTGCAATCAATTTTTCATTTTATATTCGATATATTTCCACTGAAACGAAGGAATACTCGTAAAACACCCATAGACTAGTGTCTAAACATGTAGAATGTCAGGTATTATAGTTTTACATAACAGTTTAAGAAAAGCAATATAAAAGAACAGTGAAAAATGAACGGAATACAAACCTGGTCTATATAGTAAAAAAATAGCCATATACATCAAGAGAATTCTGAAGATGCTCAATGTCACGAAAAACCTATAGAAGAGATAAGTTTCCAGAAAAGACAGGATAAGAATTGTGTAGCGCCTGAAATTGAACAAATAGTTAGAAAAACACAGGCCTCAAATGTGTGAATAATTTTCATAATTAGCATCTAATTGTTAACCCATAAGAGAACTTACCAAGGATATTTCTGATGTCCTTGATGGAGCACTATCCTTGCTCCAACCAAATCTGGCATAGCCTAACCCACCTTTTGATGAGAAAGATGAAAAAAAATGAATAAGCTCGAAGAAACTGTAAGAATCTTATGAATATTCGAGAATATGTGTAATTAAGTAGCTTAATCACTCCTAGTGAAATTAGGTATTGATTTCCTTTCCTTTTTAAGACATGAATGTAGTTATTTAGACCCAACAGCTTGAGTCAATAATCAAGCCGAGCTCCTCTTCTTTTTCTCTTAAGTTTCACAGAAAACTAAAGTGTTGTACATACCATCAATTATAACAGCCCTCGGCACTTGAGCACGTTGACCATAAATAGTCATCCATGACAAGCTGGGTGCTGAGGGAAGCGTCCTGCAATCATATACATAATATCAATGTTTTGCATAGTGAGGATTCGATTGCCGACTCCATTTTGTTTAGAATTAAGGTAAGTTGTTAATATCGTTGTTATTGTTATGTTGTACCTTTCTAAATGAAATCAAGATATTCCCATCATTTCAATTTATAGGACATGATTTGACTCCTCATGACTTAAAGTAAGAAAAGAAGACTTTCGAAACTTGTAGTCTTTTTTAAAAAGGTAAAGGAGACTTTTGAAACTTTTAGTCTTTTTAAAAACGGTAAAGGAGACTTTTGAAACTTGTAGTCTTTTTAAAAAGGGTAAACCTTTGTATATATATTACAAACGGGACATTACACTTAAAAATTGTGGAAGTTACCCATACATAGAAAAAGTCAATTCACAAATGATCTACCATACTACTACTTCTTACAAGGGATCTAAAACATTAAAAACTGAAACATGATCTTCCAAATACATCCCTTTACACCAAAAACAATTAAGACCTAGACATCGCATATTCGAAGCATCTCTGAATTCTTTCCTCACAGATTATCATCTCCCAAATGCAAGCTGGGACAATCCCCATCTCTTTTTGTTACCAGTGGAATATCCTTCATTGTTCCAGCATTTTGGAGTGTCACATATACTTCTTGGCATTACCCATTGTAGTCTCCTTAAGTTGATAAACATCCTCCATAGTTCTGAAGTTCCTTATAGTGTAAAAATAGAGATTATTAATTGTCTTTGCTTCTCTCTGCATATATAGCACATAGAACATAGTTAATATCCTCTCCTGTTTAGGTTGTCCTGTGTGAAGACTTCTCCTCTAGCTCATAACCAAGTGAAACAAGCAACTTTAGAAGGAATTTTCACTTTCCATATCTATATTCATGGCCAATCCTCCATTATATTGTATGTTAAATAAGCTTACATCTGATCGACAACTTTTCTGAGTTTTCCATAACATCTGACCCTCCTCTTCGCCAGTCCCTTTAAACAGCTCCAGCTTTTTTTAAAACTCAACCATTCTATCAATCTGTCAATCAAACAAGAGTCTTCTAAAAGTGAGATTCCACCTTCACTATTACTTACTTCTCCAACTGTTGCCTTTAATGGTTGATTGATCAAGTAGATGTCCGAAAAGTGCTCTATAAAAGCACCACTTCCAAACCAATTGTTTTCCCAAAAAAAAAGGTTTCATACCATTGTCAATAGATTCCTTATGGACTTCCACAATCTAACTCCACAAGGACCCTTCACGATGTTGGCCAACTTCCTTGCATGCAAAAATTTCTCTTTAATTACCTCCTTCCACTATGAATGAACACATCTGAAACTAGCCTCCATAGCTATTTCCACATCAAAGCATTGATTCTATACCTCCAGATTTTCATACCCATGCATGGCCACATGATTCATTAAGAAGTAGGTTTCCATGCCCTAGCCAGTCAAAATCTCCTCGAGCCCCTCCCCCTGTATGGCTGTACCTTGCCTACTCCCTTTTATCCACGGGGCAGAAATTCCTTCTCACCCCACCTTCTCCGACAAGTGTTCTCGCTGGAGCTACACATCAGACTTGAATCTAATATAGAAGTTATTCAAATTCCACTCTTATCACCTTTGGAACTGCCCCACCATCCCCTTTCACCTTCAATCTCACCTACTTTAGATGATTTTTCAACTTAACTTCATATTCTGTCTGTAGCTATCTGCCACAAAAATACCCCAGTTTTTTGAAGATCTTTTTGGACCAGAAATGCAGTGGAAGACCCAGTAATCCTGTCCAGACTTGACTCACGGAATTTGGGGATGGAGCCAATAGTAGGGTGCCACCATTGGAATGTCAATACATGCTTCGTCCAATTCCATTCTCCACTTAGCATGTCCTGTCTAATCACTTTCCCGAGTTCTTTTTCGGCCTACCTCTACCAACCTAACTCCCGTTACAACCAACCTATCACACTTAAACTATCAAATTAAGTTTCCAACAACTAATTTTTTTAGAAGAGTTCCACTAACGTTTATGCAAGTCGCAATAAATCTAACTCCAACCTCAACCAAATGATTTTGCATAAAGTAGGACAGAGAAAGTAATTTTTCTTATTATGCTACACCTATAAGCATTTAGTTAAATGAAACTATATTTATACACCAACAAAAGCCAAGCCAATTCTGGGAAAAAACCATATAAAGTTTGTTTAAGATGACGTCGAGCATGAGTCATTTAAGGGTTTTCGGTTGTCTCTGTTGCGTCCAAATACACCAATAGATTTAAGGATAAATTTGAGGAAAGAGCCACAATATGCATCTTTGTTGGTTATCCGCAAGCGCATTGAAGAGATAGGAACAACACAAGTCAGACGTATTGATTGATTGGAGACTTGAAAGGAGGAAGTCTACATGTAAGTGCCTCCCACATATAAGACTCAAGGGAACTTGGTGTGCCAATTAAATAAGTTAACTTGGTGTGCAGGTTAAACAAGTCGACATGTGGCTTACAACGTTTATCAGGAATTGGTACCACAAGCCGTCAGATACGTTTTTGAAATATGGTTTCAAGCAGTCAAGTGCAACAAAGAACAACGTACCCAATATGATCCCACAAAGTCGAGTTTGGGGAGGGCAGAGTGAATGCAGACCTAAACTCTAACTCAGAGGTAGAGAGGTTGTCTCCGATCAACTCTTGGCTCAAGGGAAATATAGTCCAAAGCAGTCCAGGAGAAGAAATGATAGAAGTACAAGAAATAACAAAGCGAACAGAAACAGAAGCTAGGAACGATATAGTAATATAACAACAGTAACTACAACAAATTAATATGATAGTTGAAGTACAAAAAACAACTTATAAAAACAAAAATGAAGCACAAGAAACAACAATACTACAACTACTAGTATGAACGGGTAATAAGACAACACACAACTAGATTGAAAAAGTACATGACATTACCGAAGACTTCGGAGATGACTTTCAGCAAAAAGGCCACAAGGATCCTCCTCCTGAAGAAAGTACATCCAGAGGTGATCGTCGGACACTATTGATTTGAATCTCTTATTGATAACGCACATTTTGGCAGACTGTTTTGCACCCAAATATTTCAATATCTGAATTGTTACATCGAATGGCAAATCCTCAAATTCCTTTCGATACCTCTTATGACGAAAACATTTTCCCCATATTCTGCCGAAGAACTTAAATGCCATTGCCAATACGAACAGCCATCTAATCATCATCTTCACAATCGCACAAGAAATTGCAGAATCAAAATCTAGGTCTGATATTGAGAGTACGTCGAGAGAATTTCTTCAAATTGGGTTTGGGGATTTTTGGGGCGGGAATAACAAGAATTGTCAGTGGAATTGTTGTTAACTTCTTTTTGATTTTTAACTTTAACAAGAATTATATTAGCAAGCGTTTATCGTAAATTAACTTGAAAATAGTATATTTATTTTTTTATTCTAACAAAATTCTCTAAATATATTTGACATACTTTATTTATGTTGAGGGTTCATTAAGACAATTTTTTCATCTTTTCAAGATAAGTGAAGGTCTGAATATAATTTATCATTAGCAAAATCTCACTCGCGGGAAATATTTTATCATGATAGAGCCCAACCAATCAAAATTGGATGAAACTCCACACATTTTCTGATACATGAATTATGGATCCATTCTTAAAATAAAGGCTGGAAAAAGATTTTAATATTTCAGGATTATTTCTACATTTTTGTATTTTTTAATATTTCGATTCGATTTTAATATGTATTTTTGTGTTATTCGATATTTGGATTTATCAAAATATATTATATTATAATATACATGAATATTATATTAATTATTAATATTAAATAATAAATATTACAATTTAATTTAAGAGCAAAATATTACGTCCCTTTTTCACATTGGCACTTTCTACTTCTGGCAACCGGCGTCAAACAGCAGCACACGCAGCACGGCAACAGTCGTTGCCCACAAGTCCGCAATCGACCAGCGTCCAGCAACAGGCAGCAATGGCCGACCACTTTCCATATTTCGCAGTGGAACAGCGACCGATCAGCGACCATCATCAGGTACTGTATTTGATAGATTGATTGATTATATAGCAGGTCCATAGCGCGCACACACACAAAAAAATATATATATATTTGTTGCATTGATTTTTAATGCTTCAAATATCAAAAACTAAGATATGCACCGAAAATCAAATTGAACTTTCTTTAAGTATTTGTTTGTTTGATTGTTGACTCATACAAGCTTCAGATTTGTGAATTTAAATTTTGAGTCAAAAATTGAGAAAAATATTGGATGAATCTGCATATAACTGCATATTTGATATAAAAAAAAACAGATCAAGATTAGTATATGTATAAATTCAAAGTGAACAAATTATTTAACTTGTTAAAGAGAGAACCACCTCAAAACTTAATTCCATAGATTCGTGTTGTATTTGTTGCATTTAGGCTGATTGGATGTTAAAATTCATAGTTTTTCCATGTTCATGTTTTTGTCCTGCTTTATTTTTGAATGTCACCTTTGATTTCTTTTTCTTTTTCTTTTTTCTCACCTTTTGACTTCGTTCTTAAATATCTATTTCCCTTTCCCTTTTTCTTGAATGGATTTAAAAATCAATCCTTAGCTCCAATAAAAGAATCAACGGATGAATCAAATTTGTTTTTGTTTTTGTCACAATTTTCACCACACAATTCACTTTGATGCTTAGTAATCTCAACTCTTGCTTGGTACAAATATCTTCTAGCAACTTCTCTCGAATCTATATCATTTGTAACTAACATCATGACGATAAGTTACTCTTTCATTAACCCGTTCAAACGAATTGCCATAGACTCTTCTTTTTGGTGTACTTCGCAAATCCATTCTCATGCTTAACATTCTTAGACCATCTTTTCAAAATATATTTCTCAAGAATAAAAGAGAAATTCAAGTCAATGAACAAAATTTTAAGTGTGTAACAATATAGACAACCCATGGATTAAAACATATGACAACTACAAATAATATAATTTTCAAGAGCATTGAATTGGATAATTTCAGTTTTCTCACTTTCACTTTTTCAAATTGTATATTTTGTTAGACTCCCTTTAGTTTCAACATTGATTACTCTTTTGGTTGTCCCTTTTATAAATTCATGTTGAAATCTTGTGTAAATTCTCCTAGTGTACACCTGCAACATGCTTTAATGTCCCACAATCTTTCGTGAAAATTCTAGGATCACCCCGAGATTTATAATTTTGTATAGCTTTAGTATCACGCATTTCAACTGTCTGTTGCTCATAATACTTTACAAACTCCATTATACTCATTGTCATGCATGACATTTCAGTGAAGACTTTATTTGTGCTCTCACTTTTTGGGGTCGATTTGATATCTGCTGAGAAATTAGAACGACTAAATACAGAACACCATTTTTTACTCATATCATACAACTTTTGAAGTCAAGTATTAAGCGTACAATACCAATCATCTATCATTTTCTTTTACATACTAACACAAATTCTGATTCTCAATTGCACCTCCACTAGAAAATATCAAAGTAGTATCGAAATCTGATTTAAAGTAAAGATGTGATATATTTTTTTGAGCATTTCTATCAATGTCATTCACACAATCTATGACATGTTCTAGAAAAAGCTTCCTTAATAGCAAAAGTTATGGCAAGAGCTTGATCAGTAAAGATTATTTTTAGTGTTTTCGCTCCCATTGCTTTCAAAAATGTTTGAAAAAGCCAAACAAAAGAATCATTTGTTTCATTGCATAAAAATGCACATCCAAAGAAAAGCATTTTTTCAGTGGTTGTTCACACCAACAAATGAAACACAAATCAATGTCATATCTATTTGTACGATAAATACTGGCAAAAATCATCTCACCCCAAAACACTCGTAGTGCAATTTTAAATGTACTATCTCTTCAAAAGAAATTACACAATCTGAATCTTCATCAACTTGAAAAAAATTAAAAAAGTTTGAATCCTCTGATTTTAAATGCATGAAGTGATTTATCATGGTTTGAGCATCTCCACTACTAATCATATTTCTCATATGTGCTCGCATAAAGTAATGAGCATCTTGTTCAATAAATTCCGCGTTTGCAATTCCACCAACTTCATTATAAACGTATTGAATCTCTTTTTTTGTACGAATACCGGCATCCAACACATAACCAAGAATACTTTTAGTAGCACTTGTATGTAAGCTTACGACCCGATTGTATGAAATGTTTCAAATTATCTTCTATCATTGGATGACTATGCACACATTGAATTCACATACTTTCCATATCCCATTTAAAATTTTGAATTTATACGAGCCATACAACCATATCTATATTTTAATCTTTGTCGCTTCCTTTCTTGAAAAATGGAAAGCTTATCAGATTTTCCTTCACAAGAACAAAAAAATAACCATCTTGTTACTTCTTTATTTATGTTGTAAGTCTTTGCACTTTTTGAACACCAAAACCTTTGGCAGAGCATATGAATTATATGCAATGTATTATTCTTCTTCATAATTGAATTTCGTACCAATCTTAAAAGCAAAGTTTGAATTTGGTGTAAAAAATTGTGCATAGTAGATACAGACCAAATTGTAGATTTGATAGGAAGCTTGAAATTGACACTTTTTGGTGGTGACCAGCATGCTTAATGCTGAAGAATACAATCTTACCAGTTTCAAAAAAAATAAATGTATTTATCTTCTATTTTTTGGGTGGAACATGGCAATTGCAAATCACACACAGACCATGATAGACTTTTTGAGCTCATTACACAACATGTATTGATGCTACCTCATGTACATAAGTTACTAAATATTCTTTAATCATAAAGAAAAAGTAACAGCAGTTTTATTATTGCTATGTCATGTCTGAACTCCAATCTGTTGCTTAAGTTTTCCTTATACACTTCATTCTTTCTAAACATAACTTTTTACTTGTTGGATTGGCTTACTGCAGCATTTGCACCCAAACTGATAACTGGGACTTGATATGCAAGTATGCTAAAAGGTTTGTCAAGGCAGGAATGAAGCTACGAAAGACTTCCTTGGACACTCGGATGGAATTTGCCTCAGAAATAGAACTTTTCAAAAGATAAAAAGATGTAGAACTTTATATCTCAATCTTCTTTTTTGTTGCATGAGTGGCTTCAAGTTAATAGGGTGAATTTCTTAGGGCTTCAGTTGTAATGGATAATAGGCCAAACAAACACTAAAGCTTACTGCTCTGGCTTTGGCACACTGTTGTTGACTTCATCTTTGCTTCTGCAGGAGATGTGGATGCTTTGTGAAAAATTGAGAAGATACAATTACAAATCATGAAGGAACATACTCTTGGAAGTGGACTTTCATGTGGTAAGATAATTCGTTTTCTTTTACCTGCTCCCTTTCTTGTTTCAACACAAAACTGAATTAACACAAAGGGGACAAAAATTCGTAGCATATAGCCTACTAGAGAAGTGATTAGTAAAATATTTGAGGTCTTGATAGTAGACTTTTAGAAACATTTTTGGTGCTTTCTTGCATTTAACACCATTGTCCCTTACCTGCTACTCCTTGTTGAAGGTTTATAGGTCCCTGATTTTGGAGCATTCCATACAATTACGCTTTCTGTTGAATGCCTTGAATTGGGCCCTTAATTTTCTGTTGATTCTGTATGTTGGGCCCAAGCCTGTTAGGGCGTAGCTTAGCACTATATATAGACGCTATGGGAAACTCTATTCTGTAATTCTGTTTTTGCCTCTCCATAATAAAACTGCTCCCTCTCTTCCCGTAGACGTAGCCAATTTATTGGTGAACCACGTAAATCTGTTGTCTTGTTTTTCGCGTTTATATTTTCT